GACCCGAAACATTAACTCTCTGATTTTTTTTTTTCTTCTCAGATGCTGTCAGACCTGCTGAGCTTTTCCAGCAACTTCTGTTTTTGTTGTATACTTACAGTGCTGTTTATCCCAGACCAGAGTCAAATTTGCACTCAGACCTCAAAAGAGGCATGCAAGCCAAGACAGATTGTACTGTCTCTCTCCTGTGCATGTTCTTGCCCTCCGTCTGAGTGGAAGACCACCAGCAGTACAGGACTGTGTGTGTGAATTTAAATGGTGCTGTATTTTGTATTTGTGTATTTGTAATTAAGAATCTGATTTTTGCCATTTTATTAAATAAATTTTAGACTAGGCTAAGTCAGACAAGGTAAGCACAGAGGGTGTTCCCCAGTGACTGGGAAGTCCAAAAACAGGGAACTGGTAACCTCCACTGTAGCAATCAGTTTATCACGAACATGATTTGAATATTTTTTGAATTTTTTTATTATTTTGCCTTTTATTCCTAATCTGTGTCTGTGTGTTGCGCCATTAATTTTCTTGTTTAGTAATTAATAAACTCTCCTTGTGAACTCAAGAAAGCCTGGTTAAATTGGCTTCCTTTCAAACATGTAAATTCATTTACAACAAATGCAGAATGCTGGAGAAACCCACCAGGTCTAAATCATCTGTGGAGAGAGTCATAGAATTATACACCACAGAAGCAGACCCTTTGGTCCAACTTGACTGCACCCACCAGATAACCTAAACTGATCTAGTCCCATTTGCCAGCATTGTGCCCATATCCCTCTAAACCCTTCCTAATCATGTACCCATCCAGATGCCTTTTATAGGTTGTAATTGTACCTACCTCCATCACTTCCTCTGGTATCTCAATCCATACAAACACCACCCTTTGCATGAAAAAGTTGCCTCTCGGGTCCCTTTTAAATTTTTCCTCCTCACTTTAAACCTGTGCCCCCTAGTTTTGGCTTTCCCCTATGCTGGGAAGAAGACTTTGGCTACTTATCCTACCCATGCCCCTCGTAATTTTATAAACCTATGTAAGATCATCCCTCAGCCTCCAACGCTCCAGGGAAAAAGCCCTAGCCATTTGGCCTCTCCCTCTAGTTCAAACCCTCCAATCCTGGCAACATTCTTGCAAATCTTTTCTGCACCCTTTCAAGTTTAACAACCTCTTTCTTACAGCAGGGAGATCAGAACTGAATACAGTATTCTAAAAGTGGCCTAATCAATGTCCTGTACAGCCGCAATATGAGATCTCAACTCCTATACTAAGTGCACTGATGAATGAAGGCAAGCATGCCAAATGCCGCCTTCACCACACTGTCTACTGTGACTCCACTTTCAAGAAACTATGCACCTGCACTCCTAGGTCTCTTTTCTTTCGTCGACACTTTTGGAATACTGCATTCAATTCTGAACTCCCTGCTATAGGAAGGATGTTGTGAAACTTGAAAGGGTTCAGAAAACCTTTGCCAGGGTTGGAGGGCTTGAGCGTTAGGGAGGGGCTGAATAGGCTGGAGCTATTTTTACCTGGAGCTTCGGAGGCTGAGGGGTGACCTTATAGAAGTCTATAAAATCATGAGGTAGGGTGAATAGCCAAGATCATTTCCTCAGGGTAGGGGAGTCCAAAATTAGAGGGCATAGGTTTAAGGTGAGAGGAGCAAGATATAAAAGGGACCTAAAGGGCAACTTTTTCACACATACAATGGAATAAGCTGCCAGAGGAAGCGGGTGGAAGCTGGTACAATTACAACGTTAAAAAGGCACCTGGATGGGTATATGAATAAAAAGGGTTTAGAGGGATATGGGACTAAACTAATTTAGGAAATCTGTTCGACATGGACGAGTTGAACCAAAGGGTCTGTTTCCATGCTGTACAGCTGCATGACTCTGACTCCCCAGGGAGAAACAGAGTTTGCCTTTCGAATTCGGTATAAGTTGCAAGACCAGTTCTGAGGAACGGTCACTGGACCTAGAATGGTAACTCTGATTTTTCACCACAGATGCTGCCAGACCTGCTGAGCTTTTCCAGTAACTTCTGTTTTGTTTCAGATTTCTGTTGGAAATCGTGCCCCACTATTTCTGGAAATGTTGCAAACATTAAAGGTTGTATAAAAATACGTGAAGTTCTATAGTTTACCTGAATTTCAGACCAGGTTTCTGTGCTGAATAAGAAGTACTATTTATTACAAGTAATTAAATTGTAACTAGAAGTAAACAGTTATAAACCATCTGTATATAACACTGCAAGTTAAAACTTTTTTAAACTTTCTTTTGTGTACTCTCGCTCGCTCTCGGACAACTGAAAAGACAGTTCAGTGGTCCTTGTTCCCTTTGTTTGATACTGCTGGCTAGCACATGCTTCAGTTATTTTACTCCAGGTGCTTCCCCTCACTGGTTGGTAAAATACACAAGGTTGCTGGTTCACTTTAAAAGGTTTTTGACGTGTTATTTAAAAGTCATGGTGTGCAACAACTGTTGCAGAAAAGATAAACTGGCCTTCTTCAGGTTTAAAGTGAGTTTTGGCTGCAGAAAACATAGAGACCACTTGCGAGTTGATTTTCTGTGTCTGTCTCAGTACCTTGCTCCCAGCTCCAGGTTGGCAGGCAAAATATCTCATCAATAACTGTCCCTAGTCCATTGACCAATGAACGACTTCTTGCCAGCAAAAGCTTCATTGGTACACCCACTTTGGCTCCAAATGATCTGAAACTCAACTTCAATTACTGCTTTTGCAAACTGTCTACAGAATCTCTGCAATAGTTGTCAGATTGGGTGCTTTCAAAACATTCATCCCCCCCCTTTCAAACACTGGTTTCAAAGCTTTCTCATTTCAGACCACAGTTTCTTAAAAAGCACAAAGTAAAAATACACAGTCTTTATGCCATTGTATTACCTCCCTCCAGTTTAAATGAAAATGGCATACACCTCAGTCTTTCGACTTTCACAGATGAAATAAACCATGTGCAGAATTTGAAAATTAAGAAAGCTAAATGTCAGGACAACATGTGAAACCTGCATTTTTTGGCTGTATAGTAGGTCTTAGCAATGGTCTGCTGCTGGTCTAGCTTGTTAGAGTTCTATAAGTTTGTGCTGCAGAAGGTTTTGTGTATGTAAAGGATCTTTGCTTGTTTAATCCACAACTAGCCGTACTCTTCCATTATTTTACCTCATAGCCCTCTGCTGATCATTGTTGTAGTTACACTGATACTTAATGGAGCTTGTCTTTCTTTTGTCTTTCTTTTGTAGATATGGCAGTAGCACTCCACTTGCTGTGGAGTGCACTGAAGCTCTGATGCAATGTAAACTTCAGGATGAGGCTGGGGAAACTGCATGTAATGAACTGGTTCACTCCTATGGGCTTGCCCTTGTCAGGTAATGTATGTCTGTAAGAATACTCTTTATGTTTGTGTAGTAAACTATCTCCTGTATCAGTTGACACCAACCCTCCCCCCCAACATTTGGCCAGAATTCTCTTTCCACTTGCCAGCTCTTTCTCTTGCCGATTTTCCTCACATTCCTTGCTTCCCTGTTCGACGCTGTCCGCTTCTCAGGAGACGGGCTAGAATTCTCATTGTAAGGGAGGGCTCGAGAGAAGTGGAGTTGGAGGAAGTGAATGAAAGGAGATTGGAGTGGGAGAAGCTGCTCTGAAATGGTGTCAGTTGGGTTACACATGCTCTGTCCATCTCTGTGAAATGACACTAAATTAAAAGCCTTGATGCTATTTATGTCATCATATCTCAGAATGGTTCAACCCCTGAAATATTACTTGCATTTAAACTGACCCCCTACTTGTTGCCTCAAAAAAAATGTTCAAAAGAAGTTTAAAGGTTATCTTTAACACCAGCATATGTGATCTTTTCATTTTGAGTGTCCTTCTTATGACACTTTGTCCCTTTTTCCTACCAGTATTCTTGCCTCCCATCTTTGCTACAAATTCTGGCTTCCTTGCTCAGTTCCAGTTTGCCAAGACCTCTTGGGAGCAATCGGTGTGTCTTAAGTTTCCTTTCATTCCTTGTGGCTCTTAACAGAGAATTCTGACAAACCACGGTTGTCAGCCAAGCTGCGATTTAAAACTTGATTGACATCTATGTGTGTATTGCTTTCATGAGGAGCTACTGATCAATGATTGAGAAGCTGACTGCTCTCTCTCCACTTCAGTTACCCATAACCCCTCAGGCTAATTCTGTTCCTCAAGCCTTTTTTCTCACTGAAAATGGCTAACTCAGCTCAGACTCCTTTTTCCTGCTAAAGTCCAAACAGTTTTTATGTAATTTATGGTGAAATCTTTCTATTGCAGTTTCAGCAAACTAAGTAACATGGGCAAGTGATCCAAAGATTTCTATGACCTGAGGGGGCAAAAACTGTAATTGTCATTGGCTATGTAGGAAACTGATATTTTGCTTCACGCAAGTTTGCTGACAAATACAGTTATAACGCTGAAGCTACAAACCAAGTTTAAGAAATAAAATTCTGAGAAAACCAGGCTAAATACAAGTAGATAAATCA